TTTTGGATATACTTACATGATGAAGTGAGAACAGAAGGGTGCCTTTGAGGAAATGTAATCTGTGGAGTGACACAATGCAATTTAGGGTATAGAAGGGTTGTTTTTGTGGAAAAACAGCAATAAGGGATTGAAATTGGATGCAGTGTGGTTGGTTAGGAACCATTATAGTAATTTAGGTGACAAGTGCTGAATTAAGGCTTGGTAATGAGAATTATGAAAGAATTAATGTGACAATAGTTGGGAGGTAGACTCAGCAGAATTTATTGGATGAGAAGATGAAAAGATCAAGGGCAATTTGTCAGGATAGGCAGGGTTTTAGAAACAAACCAAATCTCAGATTATTTCTTATGCTAAATTGGTGGGGTTGAAATTGTACTCATTGGGGGCATTGTGGGATGAAGCTGATGAATCCACCCTTCATCTATCTCTTGAACATAACTAGTCACTGTGTCAGAGAAAAAGAACCAACCAGTGGTTGGCTCTTTTAAAACTTTTACAAGTTAGGCACATTAGTTCTGCATGTTTAATTGACCAAAACAAGTTACAGGGCCACACCTTTGTTCAAGGAATAGAGAAATGGAATTTACCACATACTCAGAGTGAGCTTTGGAAATATTTGGTAAATAGCACTAATAATTGTGACTTCCAAATTACAGACTTGGGAAGAAATGTGAAGACATTTTTAATTGAGATATGAAATACAGAGGGCAGGCTTTGTAAAAAAAAAGAGAATGGGTAATGTATTTGGATTTAATGACTTAGGGGTGGATGAAAATGTATTGTCAGCCCTTGGATCTGGGTGTCTAGAGCTCAGAAGAAGTTTAAATTGGAGATTTGGTAACATAAACATGGTGGATAAGCATGAATATGGACATATTTACCTCTAAGGCAATATATGAAATGCTTTGACTAAGATAGTGGGTAAAGGGGGATTTTTGGTGAGGATTGGTATGAATCCTGGATTTGGATGATCTTAGGCAGAGGAAATAAATTGAGTTGATTAGAAAAGAGGTAGTTTTTTTTTTTAAACTAAATTAGCTCTAGCAGTATGTTAATGATAAATATAGTTTTAAATGCAAATACATTTTATTTGTTTGGCTTAATAGCATGTATGTAAATTTAACCGTTATTAGTGTGGTTATTCTACATTGTTTAAAGATGGATTTGTTGCTTTTTGTGAGGGATTACAGAGAAAGATTTTTGAACTTTAAAATGACTAGTATTTGTGGAATGACTAAATAGTAACTGAAAATGATGGGGTGTTTTTGTGGGGAGATGTATACTGGKGATTGAAACCAGGGCCTTGTGCATGCTGGGTATGTTCTGACTCTACCACTGAGCTATACCTTTAGATCCCCAGAATTTTAAAATTCTTGATTGGTTGAATCATTAAGATTTCATGAGATTTGGACTTACATGATTACTTTAAATCTTGACTTTGCCATTTTCTAGTTCAGAGATGTGGCTAACTTATTAGAACTGTTTAGTAACCCACAGTAAATTACTGTTATTATTCCAGTTATAAATGATGTTTTCACATGATATCTTTTCTTTTTAGTGTAAAAAGCTTTCAAATGAGTGTGTATTTATATTATAGATTAGGTATATATTTAGGTACTTTTTTCCTGCTACAGACAATTGTAGATTTTGATGAAAAATAATTATGGATATGTTGACAAAATGTCCACGAGGGTAGTAACTTTTAGAATCTAACAAGATAGATTCATATATGGAAAAATTCCTTTTATTTGTGCTGTGTCTGGTTCCTTTKTACTATAGATCTGCCCTAGATGGAATTGAATCAGTGGATTAGAGTCTACGCTATTTACTATAACAGCAAAATGTGTAAAATTTTGTTTATAATTTTTTTGGGGGGAGGTCTAGAAGATCACATTGCCATCTATCCTGAAACTAGCTGGTATATACATAAAAACCTTAATTTAATTTTTTGTTTCTAAGACTACCATCAAGTTTTAATGACTTTTTCTTTTTGTGTTGAGGATGAACCCAGGGACTTGTACTTGGCAAGTTCTCTACCACTGAGCTATATACCCCAACCATGTTTTTATTGATGTAAATGCTGGGGAATCACATTTAAAAGGGGTTGGGATGGTTAGAAAATTTGAATTTTTAAGAAGTGGAGCTTTCATAAAGGGATTTTTGCCTGTTTAGGATGACACAGTGGTTGCATCAATTGATTTTACATTTCACTGAGATTCAGGACTGATTGAGTTTTAAGTTTTATATATAAGGCTATAGGTCTGCCTAGATTGCCTCTTTCTGGTGAGACATACCACCATTTAGTGTTTTAATGATCACTTGCAACAAAAATTTCCCAAGTCTTGATTAGGTAAGAGTACGAAAACATGTAAGAAAGATTTTAAGTGAAAATGACAAAACTAAGCAAATATTTATTAGTCCAATTGTTTTTGTTTTTATCTTGCAGCAACGCTCCTCTTGCTTTTTCCTCCAAAGTATGTTATGTTAAGTTTCGTGACCCATCAAGTGTTGGTGTGGCCCAGCATCTAACTAACACGGTTTTTATTGACAGAGCTCTGATAGTTGTTCCTTGTGCAGAAGGTTAGTATCTCACATTTTTTTTCTATTATTTTAATTTCTGTTCTGTTTCTGTAGCCTTTTGGCTTCCTACAAATTAGCAAGCAGACAATACTCTGATGTGTGTGTGTGTGAGAAAGCAAGAATGAAATTTGGAGAAGAAAAGAATTTTTACCTAATGGTAAATTAAAGCGGTTAATTTATTACACATGTATGTTTAAGATTTTACAACTGCATAAAGTATTTGGCTTCTTGTTTGCTTTAGTTTTCTTTAGGAAATTTACAGATTGTGAAGAGAGCTTTTTATATTTAAAAAATAGAAATGGGTATGGGAAATTTTTTGGACTTTAAATGTACAAAGTAAACATCTACCTGTGTATATAGTACTAATAATATTACAAATAAGAAATGTATACATTTTGCACAATTGAGGTTAAGTGATCTTTATAGGAAAAATATTCTTAATTAGTATCTTCAAGTATTCTTTTAAGATAACTTTATTTTTACTGTGAGATGATTGTTTCATCTTCAGTGTATAGTGTGCTATGCAACTGGAATTTACTTATTTAAATTGGTTCTTTTTGGAGGTAATTGAAGAAAAAATCATGGTAAGCAATTTTTCAAAGCATCCGTCAAGGAAATAAATAGGAATAGGACCCAAGGGTCTTACATGTATTTGTTAAATTTTTATGACTGCTTTAAAAGCTAATTATTACTAATATTTTTTAGTAACTTACTTTTTTACAGAACCATTTATATATAATAGACTACGTTGAATTTTGGTGTATAATTAACTTGAGCAGTATGGCATGTGTACATGGATTTTAGAATTGGGTTATTATAAATTTAAATGCCCTTACAAGTAGATAATTCCTGGTGGATGATGATAACATATTTTACAACATTAAAGTTCCCAAGAAACAATTTAATGSGCTTTCATGTGTAATTTTAACACCTCTTATAGTAACCAGGTTAATATTAAAACAATTTAATGTATATAAGCAGTTTGCTGCATTTTCAGGGTTTTATTCTTATTTCAGAATGTCTGTTCTGGAAAGTCAAAAACATTTTAGTCAAATACAGTGAGTACCAGGCTGGTATTTTTGAAGTCCCAGAATAGGACATTCTGGCTTTTTTTCAGATAAATTTGAAAGGGTCTTCATCATGTTTGGGTGTAAGGGAAATAAAAATTGATTAAAGTTAATCTATTTATATATGTCTTTATCTGGAGTTGTATAGAAGTACAGTGAGCCCCAAATTGGAAAATGAATTAGGAATGAAGCTGATTAATGGTTTAATACTATATAGTTTATATTGAAATTTCATACCAAGAAACCTCAATAAAAGAAAAATCAAGTAGAAGGTTTACTAAACTGGAATATAATATCAGAAAATTAAACCACCAACAGCACAGGGTCTTTTATTATGTCAGATCCCATTGAATTGAATTTTTTAGCAGTGTTGCTTTGTTGGAACCTGGCTATATTTCCATAGAATGTTTAATGTATCAGATAAGCCCTGACTTGTCGTAAATGGTCAAGGTTATGGGCATGTAGATATCCCTTTTACTGTTTATTTTACTTCATAGAGATGAATAAATGCAGTTTTTTTTTATAATTTCTAAGTATTTTTAATATTACCATTTAGAGACAAAGCTTTGCTGTTTCACACATGAAAATTTAAGCATACTTTCATAGTAATTTAGTTATATGTAAGTAAATATTTCAGAACATATTAGAAAAACCTTTAAATACCATTTTTCATTAGTTATATTAAGTACAACAGAGATGAATTTATGGAACCYGAAGAATTTCATATTGAGCTGCTAAAAGTCTGATCATGCACTGCCAGGAAAGAAATAATGCATTATTGTACTAAAAAAGAGAGCATAGTGGGTTTGAAATAAACCCAAGGAAAGCATTACAGTGGAGGAAATTCTATTAAGAATAGATGTGCTGTGGTGTGGCGAGCAGTCTGCTCTGCACATTACCGAGTGCATTCTTTCCTTGATGTCCTAGAAATAGTCATGATGTAAATGAAAGGAATCATAGAAAAATTTTTTTAAAAAGTTTTTTAGTTTGCTGTTTTTTTAGTTCAGATAGTAACATGAGAAATCCTAATCTGTAAAAGTAATGTTTGATGTGTAACAGGTACATACTTACTAAGCATTAACTATTGTTAATAAAACATGCCATTTCAAAATAAAATATACTTTCATTATACTTGTCTAAATATGATCTCTTTTTGTTGTTGCGTGCATTTCAGATTTCTTTTTATAAATGTTAACACTTACGAAAGATAAGGTCAAACATTAACAAAGGTGTCAGCCTAATCATCAGTCATAACTTTATGTCCACATTTTCTGGTAGATGGATTTTGACTATTAATTTGGTTTTGTATGTTTTCTCTATGTGATATTTGTGCATTATTAGATGACTAGACTGGCCAAGGCAGACCTGTTACACTTGCCTGAGTTAGGCATTGTTTGCCATGCCACTAAACCTGCCGTCAAGTGAAACCTTCATTGGGGAAATGAGATCGGAGTCTGAACCGCAGAAGATGGACGCCCTGTCTCTGTTTTTTATTGTTTTACTTTAATTTCATTTCTTTTTCTTTATTTTGTCCCTTTTTTTTTTGTTTTTGTTTTTGTTTTTGTTTTGTTAAATCTCTCTCACTTTAACTTGTGAGCTGGTTTTCCAGTTCTTTGTAAATGGTATTCCATTAAGGTTCATAACGTGTTGCAAATTATATTGGGAGATAATTAACACAGCTCAACCTTAAGACAGAATAAATTTTTCATGCAGTAAATTAAAATATAGTGTTGAGAAGCTAGTGTGAGTCTTAATTGGTGTTTATAGATTGATCAGGTACATTTTATACTTAACATTAAAACACTTATGAGGATCTTAGGAACACTTCCTGATCTTAGTGTAACATTTTTATAGTTTCCCTCCCCACTCCAAGACTTTATCTCATAAAAATGAATGGATGGCTTTTAATTTTCATCCGTCCCTCTAGAATTCTAGGCATACAAAATCATCAAGGAAAATAAGCAAGTTTCTTACAGTGCATTGGTATGGGGAAGGTCTTTCATTTTATGATTGTTCATTATACAATTTATTTCCTTGTCTTATGAAGACTTTGTTGCCTATGTGGGGAAAGGATATTTGAGAAAATATTGATTATTTATTTGTGTGCGTGTTTTTCTGTTTGCTTGAATTTTTTGTTGAAAATTCTTCAGAGGTTACCAGTTTCTAAATGGCTTCTGAGGTTAGGACTCAAGTAATATGAGAGATACTATTTTTCTCTCCATTACTAAGGAATATAGTTTGGGGAAAATGCTAAATCTGATTGTTTAAATACTTTTATATACTCTGATATTATTTAGAGGATAAATTTGATAGGATTTTATTTCAGAAATTGAGCAATGGAACTTTTTCTTAAAATACCTTTAATAGAATAAGACAGGTATAATTGAGCTTAGAGTTCTAGATTACTCTCATGAAAGGCAATGATAGTCTGACTTTGAAGCCAAAAGAGACTTTCTAATACTAAGTGATCAACTTTTGGCCCATTTAATCCCCTTTTTGTTTGTRTAATTTTTCTATACTGTTTCTATGGATAGTTTGGCTTATTAATTGACAAGTAATATTAAACTTGGAAATCATTTTTTTTTTTAGGTGTATAAATTTTAGGGTACTGAAGCATAGAATTTTCACCTCAGGACCCCAGTTTTATTAAGGATATTCAGATTTTATAAACCTTTTTTTTTWAAAGTCTACATAACAGATAAAGTGAGTGTGATATCAGTGTAAATAGTATAGTATCAATGTGGGTGTACAAAAATACATGTGTTAATAAGTATTTAGTGACTAACACATACAAAAATAGGTTGTTATTTAATGTCTTCAGTAAGACCTACCTTTTGTTTATCTTTATGCATGTTAAACAATCTATTCTGTCAGAATTTACATTGAAATAATAAAAGTAACTTTTTGAAATTAGGCAAAGTAATATAAATTTAGATGCTGCAGAGTTCTTAAAGCTACTACAATGTACCTTTTATTCTGTTCCTGTAGATAAGACATAATTAATATTTAAAGCAAGTTTTAAGTTTCATCTTGAATTCCATCCATGTTTAGAGATATATTCAGATAATAACGTTCAGAGATTGATCTCTATACATGGTTGTTTTAAATAGGATTTTTACCACTGAAACCAGGAAAATTTACTACATTATATTATATTTCAGCTTAGTATGATTTTGTACACTATTTTAAAACGATTTTGACCAAGTTCTTAACAGAAATACTTAGCCAACTACAGTATGACTAGTTMTAAATGTATCTACACTTAGTCAACTTTTACAGAATTTTTTTTTTTGCTAAGATAAAAATGTGTGAAAGTTGCAATCTTAATAAAAATTATTTGATTAAAATCAGCAGTTACATGGCAAATGATGTACTTTAATTTTTTTCATTTTTTTAGGTTGTAGGCATTTTTTTAGTTTTTAAGATTATTTTAGTGTTACTATTGTTATTAACCATTTAAAATGTTTATAAGCAAGACATTTAAGCATTAATCATTTCTCTTCAGATAAGTATATATGTAAATTGGTTCTAAAAGTTACATTTTAAGAAGGTTCCTGAGACTAGGGGAAAAAATTTTTTGTCATTAATTCTCACAAAGTTTTAGTGATTATTATTATTTTTTCCAAGGCATATTCTTTGAAACTGGATTCTTTTTAGGCATCATTGATCGTTGTTGGTGAGATGCCTTATTAACAGAATGGGTATAGGCTTCCTTTTAAATTGAAGCTGATTACATGAAGTAGGTTTATGTTTTCTTCTGTTTATTTGAACTTGAATCTGTTGGAGGGTTATCACAATTGTTTGCATCACAAGAAGATAGTTTCAGTAACAGAATAGTGGCACTCATTAAGGAACAAATTTCAATTCGCACATATTTGTTTTTTCTTTTTCTTTTTTTTGACTAATTTGGTTATTTGCCATTTCTGGGGATTAAACTTTAAAAAATGTTCTTCTTTTCTGTATCTGATGTTCTGTGTGCTATTAGTGATGCAGCCAACACGAACGGTTGTCATGTGTAACACAACTTTCGATCACCGCGAAAACACCGTCCTGGGAAAGCGTCCATGCTTGATATCGTTTGGTTCATGAACATTAAGTTTCCAGTACAGGTGACCCATAGCTCAAAGTGTTAAATAATTGTCTACATTATTCAATTTTTAAAATAATATTCCATTAATGAGATTGTTAGTCTTTGAAGTTTTGCTCACTTTTATTTTTCCTAGTAGAGCCAGGATAAAAGGAAAGACTTAAGTTCTTATTTATTTCTTTATACGGATCTGATAGATAGATTCATTTATTATTATTATTTTTTAAGTGCAAGGGTAATTGTAAAATCATAGTGTAAAGTTGGTGTGGTGTTTCTGCTCTCGGTAATGTTTGGAACTTGCCTCTGCAGGTAAAATCCCAGAGGAATCGAAAGCACTCTCTTTATTGGCTCCTGCTCCAACTATGACAAGTCTGATGCCTGGTGCAGGATTGCTTCCCATACCAACTCCTAATCCCTTGACTACTGTAAGTATTGAACTATACATAAGTAAGTACCTTCTTATGAAAGGAGTGAATATTGAACTGTATAATCTGTTGGATAAAGAGATTAGACAGTTATTTGTATTCCTAGCCACTGAGGAGTGTGAAGCGAGGAGTATGTCACAAGTTTGAGGCCAGCCTTAGCAATTAGTGAAATTCTGTTTCAAAATGAAATTCAAAATGGACTGGCGAGATAGGGCAATGGTAGAGCTAGAGCACCCTTGGTTTTAGTCCCCATTACTACTGCCCCCTACCCCACCAAGAACAAAATGTATTCGTTTTGCTTTAACCATAGGATAAGCAAGAACTTACTATTTTAGATTTTTGCTTAGGTAAATTTTTCTGTTTCAATTTGAGGTTATCCATACTGGGACCCTGCCTTTACCACTTGGTAGCCTRGAAATTTTGGGCAAATTAATTTCTCCAAGTTTCTGGGTTTTTTTTTAAAGACCTGTGAAATTGAYATAATAGTAATGCCTACCTCTTAAGGTTGGTATGAGAATTAAGTTAATAACTCAGCAAAATGYGATGCTGTGATAATTGTTGATGATTAGGAACTTACACAGTGTTTTTTAATGACCAGCATACAGTTAATCCTTATTATTTGTGAATTCACTTACTAAGTAGTTTTTTTGAAACCTCAAAATCATATTTGCAGTGCTTTTGTGGTCATTTTCAGATATACAAGGTGATGAGAAATATGAGTTGCCTGATGTACATATTCCCAGATTATGTCAAGCAAGGTGACACTGCCTTTTTGTTTTGGCACTCATGCTATAAACAAGCATACTTTTGCAATTTTTTRGTGCCACATTTAAAAATTTTGTGTGCCTTTTGTTGATGATTTTGCTATTTAGATAGGTCCCGAAGCCAAGTCCTAAATAGTAAATGCTTAGGTAAATTGTGATGTACCTTATGAAGAAAATGTGTGTTASATAAGTTTCTGATTTGTTGAGTTGCTAATCATGAGTTTAGTCTTTTTCTCTCTCTCTCTCTTAAAATATATCTATTTTTACGGACACAATATCTATTTACTTGTGGTGCTGAGGATTGAATCTAGTGCCTCATATGTGTGAGACAAGCGCTCTACCACTGAGTTACATYCCCAGCCCCATGAGATCAGTATTAATGAATCAACACATTAACTCAGGTGCCTTCAAACAAACATATAAAACAAAATTATRTATTTATTAGTGATGATGAGTGTGTTATGGTCAGAGGCTCCTAGGAACTTAATCTTTTATTTTCCTTAGGAACATGGTTCAATAATCCAGTAATAATTCATTATTTATAGAAACTTTATAGGGTATAACTACTTTGACTATTGAGAACCAACTATTCATTTTTAGTATTAAGTTTAAAGGTAGTTAAAATTCCCAGATAGTTAAGAAATTGGTTATATTTCAGTTAGGTTCAAAATTAATATGATTTCCCTGTCTTAATAATTCAGAAAGTTAGGAGTCTTTAGTCTCCTTCTAGTCTTTTTGAGTTGATCCATTCTTGTCAAGATTAGAGAATTGTAATTTGGAATACTAATAGAAATTATGTTCTCTTGGTTTTTTTTTTTGTTTGTTTGTTTGTTTTGTCTTCTTACAGCTTGGTGTTTCACTTAGCAGTTTGGGAGCTATACCAGCAGCAGCACTAGACCCCAATATTGCAACACTTGGAGAGATACCACAGCCACCACTTATGGGAAATGTAGATCCTTCTAAAATTGATGAAATTAGGAGAACAGTCTATGTTGGAAATTTGAATTCCCAGGTAACTAATTTAAGAAGAAACAGAGGGCAATAGTTCTTTTTTCCCCCTCTTAAAAATCATATTGATTGGGCTGGGATTGTGACTCAGTGGTAGAGCACTTGCCTAGCGTGTGTGAGGCCACTGGGTTTGAGTCTCAGCACCGCATATAAATAAAAAATCATAAAATAATAGCTCTGTTAAAACTGTCACTTTGTTTCCTCAGACAACAACAGCTGATCAACTACTTGAATTTTTTAAACAAGTTGGAGAAGTGAAGTTTGTGCGGATGGCAGGTGATGAGACTCAGCCAACTCGGTTTGCTTTTGTGGAATTTGCAGACCAAAATTCTGTACCAAGGGCCCTTGCTTTTAATGGAGTTATGTTTGGAGACAGGCCACTGAAGTAAGAAATCCTAAACAAGAAATTTTAATGATTTAAAAAAWTTTAAAGTATATTTGATGTAATTAAGGCTTTTTTTTTTTCTTTTTAATAGTAATTGGCAATTTGTGGAAAGGAAGACTGTGTTAAGTATAAATGAAATACATGCCATTTTAGCCTTTAAAATCCTAAAGTTGTATTTGGAATCATATTTCTCATTTTCTATTTTTTAAGGTCTAGTTTACTTAACATTATTTACATACCCCACATAAAAGTTCTAAGTCTTTATCAGTTTTAAAATTATTTTATTGGTTTTATAATATGACTCTAGACTAATGGGCAATTCAACATGTGGGCTGTACCACTCTACTTCTGGTAATATGAATTTCAGTAAATTCTAAATCCCAGGAAGAAAGTAATATCAAGTACCCAGAAATGTTTTAAATGAGACATTGGATTTTTAAGGTTTGCTCATATCCTTGTTTGTAAAAAAATTGATGTAGCCTTTCAGATACTTAAGATCAGATATTCTGTTTCAGTTAGATTATTAAGTCAAACATAGTTTTGTCTGATTTAATAGGTGATTGTTCTAGTTATACAATTTGATCAGGGTTTAACTGTTGAAGGATAAATAACGGTTTTTAGTGGGATCTAATTATCTCAGTGTGGAAAAGGGATAAATAGAAGGAAGCAGACAAATCCCATTCATTGTGTGCATCAGAGAAGCCATTCTCACCTAATAGGGGAAGTTTTATCAGACACCTCCCACATTCGAAGGTGTCAGAGTGACTCAACCAAGGAAGGAATAGGGTTGACTAAAATGGTGCACATTATATACAGCTTTCCCTTTATCCTACCAGGGAGCACAGTTTATCAACAAAATCTCCTAATGTAAGAATAGAAATGATTTAACATTGGTATCAGTGTTTATAATTCTAAACCATATGGAAAATATTTATTCTGTATTAAAAGAAGTCAGCTAGGGTTTAGTATTTTTGTTTTTCCTTGCTTATAGCTTTTTTGGCAAGAGGTGACTGAAGGTGGGGATGAGAGATGAATCAAACTTTTGAGGTTGTTTTTGTTTATTTTGTATTTAGCTATATAATTTTAATGTGCTTCTTAGAAGTCCTTAGACTCATCAGTAAGTTATCATATAAACATTTGTTTAGTGTTTATAAAATATGGTGTGTATTTGTGATATGCTAATATTTTTAATTTAGAATAAATCACTCCAACAATGCAATAGTAAAACCCCCTGAGATGACACCTCAGGCTGCAGCTAAGGAGTTAGAAGAAGTAATGAAGCGGGTACGAGAGGCTCAGTCATTTATCTCAGCAGCTATTGAACCAGGTAAGGCCATAGCGTTGTTACATAGGTCATCGCTTAAAGATCATAGAATCTTAGAACCTGAAGGAATTTTAGAAATAATTACATTGTTCAGTCCCTTCATTTTTACCAATAAGAAGACTGAAACTCAAAAAATAGTAAGTGGCTTACTCAAAGAACAACTTAACACAAATTTTGTCTTTTTTCCCATAATGCTGTATCAAGGCACATTAGCCTGAGTTTATTAGCTCTTTATTTTTTAATAGGAAAACCAGTGTTCAGAATGATTTCCTGAAGGAAAGTATAAGTGTTATTATGAAGCCAAAAAGAAAAGRGTAAATATATTCAAAATGTTAAGCAGGGTTTGCTATAAAGTTCTAGTTTTAAACCTAGAAAAGRGAGCCCATGATTTAGAAAAAATACAGAAAACTGTTTTAGCGGGGTGAAGGAACACTTATTCAAACTTTGTGTTGCTTAATAAAATGATTTTAAAATCCAGTCTAAAAATGTCTAGGTGTTTAACCTTTGAGTGGATTTTCTAAATTAACACTTGCAATTTAAACTTCGATTCTAGCAAAATAAACAGAAAGGACTTAAAATCACTGTCATAGGAATTACAGACATGTTTTAATCGTACGTTATGGCAGCAACAAAATATTACGAACAGCTGTTTATAATCATCTGGTTTATATGTACTGCTGCAGGGTGGCTGCACTCAACGAGTTTATGCAATGACTTTCTTGGATGTTTCTGAAGGATAATTGCACAGGAGGAGGATGTACAGAGAGTAGGCCCCTTGCACTATATGTGGTACATTCCACTTGTGCCTAATTATTAACTGGGATCTTTAATTGTTCTGAGCTTACACTGCAAAGTGGTTTTTTCCTCCCAGAGTCTGGAAAGAGCAATGAAAGAAAAGGCGGTCGATCTCGTTCCCACACTCGCTCAAAGTCCAGGTCTAGCTCAAAATCCCATTCTAGAAGGAAAAGATCACAGTCAAAACACAGGTGAGAATTTCTACTTTCATATTTTATTTCAGTTTCTTATTTAAAATAGTTAAGATTTTATGGATTTTTATCAAAATGCCAGAATTTAGAAAGTTTTAATGATTATTAATAAATATTGCTCTGCTTATAAGACTGTAGTTAAGTTTTAATAGTTAAGCTAATTTTCCATTTTAGAAGTTGGTTTTCTATCTAAAGATGCTAACTTGATAGATTTCTAAGTGTATTCTTTACACAGAAGTGGCAGAAACTTTTTGTTCTTTTGAAAAAAGGGAACGTATTTAGTGGTTATGCTGAAAATATTGTTCAAGTTGCGGCTTTTTTGTTTTCTTTTCCCAGTCCACTCCAGGTCTGGGGAACAACACCCCAGATCTTGGTTTCAAGCAATTTCCTGTCTCTAAGTACCATGTTTCAAATGGAGCACCTTAAGTTTTTGGTACTCGTGGTGACAAGAGCCGTCCTCTGACCACTTTTGGAGCTGAAACCCCAGAGTAACTTGCAGTCTCATTTTGGAAGTTGTCTTGTCCTGAAGCACTGTTTGTTTTTTCCCTATTTTTGATTATACTTTTGGCATTTTGTTTTCTCTTGTCTGTTATTGCTTTGTGTTTGGAAAGGAGATCTCAAAATATAAACTCGGAATACCATCTTGACTGCAAGTACCTTAAGAATCATCTCTAAAGTGATACATTTTATTGTTTTTAAGGTGTGGAGGGGACTTTTTGAAATGGGAAAGTGTATATATATATATGTATATGTATATATATATATACACACATGTAGGGGGTACTTTTTGAAATGGGAAAGTGTATATATATATACATATGTGTATATGTTTCTGAATGTATGTATATGTGTATATATATATACACACATATGGAGGGAACTTTTTGAAATGTGTATATATATATATATATATATATGAAATTTATATATATATATACACTTTCCCATTTCAAAAAGTCCCCTCCATACCTTAAAAACATTTCAAAATATATATATATATATATATATATATATTTGATCCTAATTGCATGTCATGATGTTTATGTCTTCAGGAAGGGGGGAAAGTGTGTGTGTGTGTGTGTGATGTGGCAGTATTAGAGAAGGCAGAGGGATTGAGGGGAAGAAAGGAAAGAAACCAGTGTGTTGAGTCTCACCAGCATGCCCAGTTGAATTTTTCTATGATGATCACAGAGATTCAGTGAATGATAAAGGAAAGTAGACTATTCTTTTTTTGTTTCTAGTACTCATACTTCTAGCCCTTTTAGTGTTATATAGGTCTCTACTAAATCAGTTTGCAAAATCTCTTTGAAATATTGTTTCAGTGTCAACAAGATGATGTAGTTAGGCAAATTCAGAATCAAATAAAAAGAGTTGTTTTCATGTGTAAGAAATAAGTCAATGCAGCAGAAGGTGGAGTTGGAGTAGCAGTGGTGCAAGAGTGGACATTCCTGTGTGTTGACAGGATCCGGTGAGGATAAAGAATAGCAAGGAAATATAAAATTGTGTGAAAATTAATAACTGTACTTAGGAAAAAGAGAATCTTATTTTGAGGGGTTGATATGAGAGCAAGCTTACCTCCATGATTAACATCGTGTGGCTTCCTTGATAATCTATGTGAAGCTATATGTGCTTTTTGAAATTGGGCAAATAATTGAGCAATCCACTTTATCCATTGTTCACTGTAAGGTTTTAATTTTAAGTACTATGTATTTAATTAGTCCCCCCTCCAAGGGTATCATCCAGTCTATGAAGTTTGTGAATTCTTGTTCTTGATATTCATGAGAGTTATTTTCTAGTAGATCTGTCTGTGTAGCAGTGGAAATTAGTAGCTCTTGCTGTGTGTGTGTGTGT